ATGCATGAGGCCCTGGGTTCGATTCCTCAGCACCACATAAGCAAAAAGAAAAAAAGCCGGAAGTGGTGCTGTGGCTCAAGTGGTAGAGAGCTAGCCTTGAGCTGAAGAGCTGAGTGACAGCACCCAGGCCCAGAGTTCAGGCCCCATGACCGGACCAAAAAAAAAAAAAAATTAAAAAAAAAAAGTCTCAAGGACTTTTCTGCTCAAACTGGCTTGGAACAGGGATCCTTAGATCTCAGCCTCCTGAGTAGCTAGGATTATAGTTATGAACCATCAGCACCTTGCTCTGCCTCCTCTCTCTCTCTCCCTCTCTCCCCTTCTCTCTCTCTCTCTCTCTCTCTGGGTTGTGGGGCTCGAACTCAGGGCCTGGATGCTGTCCCTGAGGCTAACACACTACCATTTTGAGCCATAGCACCACTTCCGGCTTTTTCTGTTTAGGTGGTACTGAGGGATCAAACCCAGGGTTTTATGCATGCTAGGCAAGCACTCTACCACTAAGTGTGCATGCTTTGAACTACATATACTGTTCCCAAGGCTGTCCATCTTCCAATAGTTTGAAACTGCAAATTTTAGGGACTGAAGTCCTGTGACTCCAAGCACTCAATCTTGCATGAGGCCATCCTGAATTTGATTGTTTTCTGTCATCTGCCAGTACTCTTTGGAGCAGACAAATAACAGCTGGCATCAAAAGTTTTCAATTGCTTGGCATTAGTGGCTCATGCCTGTAATCCTCGCTAATCAGGAGGCTGAGGATTGATTTTGGAAGTCAGTTTGAACAGGAATGTTGGTGAGATTCTTAGTTCCAATTAACCACTCAAAAGACAGAAGTAGAGGTGTGGCTCAAGTGGTAAGGTGCCAGCTAAGCATGAAGCCTTGAGTTCAAGCCCAAGTACCAATACACACACAAATATGAGGCCCTGCTGGACACTGGTGGCTCAAGCCTATAATCCTAGCTACTCAGGAGGCTGAGTTCTAAGGATCACAGTTCAAAACCATCCTGAACAGGAGACTCTTATCTCCAATTAACCACCAAAAAGACAAACGTGAGAGCTAGCCCTTGAGCAAAAGAACTTCAGAGACAGCGCTCAGACCCTGAGGTCAAGTGCCAGGACCAGCACAAAAACTGAGGCCCAGAGAAGGAGTGTGATTTGCCTAAGACCACACAGCCCTTGAAAGATAAGGCTATGCCTTGAACCTGTATCTTCCAGGCTTGGTCAGCCCTTGGTCGCCTCCCCCCCCTCTGCTTCCAGGCACTGGCACAAGCATACAGGTGGGTGGGACAGCCAAGCACAGAAGTGGGCTTGCCATGCCCAGGACACACCTGCTGTCATACACAATGTGGGAAATCCCAAAGGTTCGGGTATAGCTGAGCCAAGGCTCTCCTGCCCCCCACCCCTACACACATACCCAGGGATGCCATCCTGATTCATCTTCTTCCTCTTCCACCCCCAGAAACACCAGAAGCCAGGGGTCCTCCCTTCCTGAACCCCGCCACCACCCTCCCTGGCTGTGGTCACAGGCCTCTCTTTAAACAGCCATTGCCATCCATCAGGGGCCCAGGGCTTTTGACAGGACAACGCTGACATTGCAGAGGTTAAAGGTGAGGATGCCAGCCTTCATCTGACAAATGGGTAGCCGAGAGGGGAGGGATTGTTGTTTTTTCCTGGCCTCAGAAGAGGGACCTGTCAGGAAGATGTAGAGGTGGCAGCCCCCCACCCCCACTCCACAGCACCCCCAGGAGGTTGACAGACACCAGCAGCTGCTGGGGCTCCCGGATGCCAGGCCCTGTGTTCTCAGTGCAAAGCCCCCTCCCCTTGACATACCCCCTGCCCCAGTCCCTCCTGACCTTTCCACCCACCCCACCATGACCCAGCGCCCACCCCTTCCCAGGGCAAAGGGCCAGGGGGGGCCTCCCTGGACCAGATGTAAGCCAGGCGGGAATCTGGTTACATCTTACCAGGCCAGCCCTCTCCCCCCGCCACCCCCCCTGCTCCCAAGCTCTTCCTAGGGAGGCTGACAGCCCACACCTCCTTCCCAGCTCCCATGGGCTCCTTCCAGGGCTCCACAGCAGAGAACCCCAAGACTTCCCAAGGAGGTGTCTATGGAATCCCCTTAATGATCCCTCACTCCTGCCTGTCCCTTTGGAACCCCTAAAAGGAATCCCATGTATCTGCCCTCTCTTTGCACAAAGGAATTTAAAATTCCCAGGTGTCTGCAGAGTAGGAACTGATACTTCAGGGATAGTACTCCAGTACCTGCCTGCTGTGTGAGCTGGGCTGGGTTACATAATTTCTCTGTGCTGCTGGGCTTCTGGGAGAGGGGATTAATGAGCAGAACACTTGCTTCAGAGGCTTTTGGTGGGGATTCCCTAGGTAAGACTATTCTCCCAGATGGAGAGCAGAGGCCTAGAAAAGGGAGGTCGCGTTGCAGGGCACACAGCTGGAAAGGACCAACTCAGAATTTGAACCTGTCTTTTCCCCAACCCCCAGTCCCATGTCCTTTCCTCCATCTAGGACAAATGGATACTCAGATGTCTTGTGAGATTCGGAGCAGTCGGGTCAATGGTCTGAGCCTCAGTTTCCTTGCCTGCATAATGTACACATATTTTGTACTTTACCTGCAAGAGGTGGGGTATGAGGCTCAGAGAAGAGCTGCTCAGCCCTGAAGAAGCAGAGAGGGACCTTGTTTGTGGGTGTGGTCCCACCCTGTCTACTGTTCTATAGCCCCCTGGCCACTTGTTCCAAAAGAGGGGTCTTCTGATTAAGTGTACACACCTACACACACATCTTTTTTCTTTTCTTTCTTTTTACAGCATTTCCTGCACCCTAGGATGCACATCCGGGTGGAGTTTCTGGGTTAAATGTGAGTCATGGCTTCTCTGTCTCCTCATTCTACTTCTAGCTCTGTCCACAGAGTGCTTCCCGCCATCTTCTGGTCCCTGTCTTCTTGGAGACTTGATGTCTTTGGGACCAGCCAACAGGGATGCTTGATGTGAAGGTCCTTGCCTGTCTCTGCCTTGGAAATCTTTGGTGGCATAAGGAGCAGTGACCTCCTGTGTCTTTGGAACATCAAGGAGACACTCCATGGAGCCTTCAGCAGGTAGACTAATCGGCCAATTGAAATGCTACTTCTGCTGGCCTACCAGTGACAAGAACCTTCCAGAAACACCCATGGGATGGTCTACTAAAGAGAAGTCCAAAGCCGGGCACTGGTGGCTCACGCCTGTAATCCTAGCTACTCGGGAGGCTGAGATCTGAGGATCACGGTTCAAAGCCAGCCCGGGCAGGAGAGACCGTGAGACTCCTATCTCCAATAAACCACCAGAAAACCGGAAGTGGCGCTGTAGCTCAAGTGGTAGAGCGCTCGCCTTGAGCTGAAGAGCGGACAGCGCCCAGGCCCAGAGTTCAAGTCCCACGACCGACAAAAAAAAAAAAAAAGAGAGAGAAGTCCATTCATGGAGAACTGCAAGGGATCCCACCCCCATTCTGATCTCCACACACCAGGTTCCAAGGATGGCCTGGCCATCAGGGATTGAGAAAGGAAAGCAGGTGGAGAGGTGGAGGTGGGGGGGGGGGGGAGAGGAGAGAAATGGGGAAAAGAGGCCCAGAGAAACTTCAAGGACTTTGTCTTAAGAGCCTTGCTTTGACTGTAGAGAAAAATGGTGTGGAGGTGGTAGAGGGAAGGGCATGGCTAATTGGCGTGGTCGATGGAGTACAAGAGAAAAGCAGATGACTTCTTTTTTAAGTTATGGAGAAAATAGGACTGTCACTTTGGGCAGCAGCGGGGGAAAAAAAACAAGGAAGGTTTTCTGAAGGGTGTCTTTCTTTGTACCACAGACCATTAGTGGCCCTCTGAGACTTGCAAAACAGATTTCTTTAATCCACCTTCCTTTGCCTAGTTTACAGGCAGCGGTAGGAAGGCCCTTAAATCAATGCAGTCATCAAGCTTGTCTCTCTTTCTTATCCCCTCACTTCGTTCCCTGGAATTTGGCATTTGATGAATTTTGGATTTGGCTTAGGGTTTTTTGGTGGTTGTTTTTTTTTTCCCCAAGACTTGGAGAATTTTGTTAACAGTGTAATAAAAATAACTTTATAGTGTTACAGGAGGTGTGTGTGTGTGTGTGTGTGTGTGTGTGTGTGTGTGTGTGTTGCTCTCTCTCTCCGTTAAAAAAAATTACAGACAATGTTTCTTTAAAAGTCTCCATCTGCAAATCTCATTAGATGTGCATATAAGGTTTCTGATGATTAATAGTTGCCTGCTCGGGTTTTGGTTGGAGGGGACCTTGTGTGCGCGGGTTAACCCCTCCCTTTCCTCTCTCACATTTCACTTCAGAAATCTGTCACTCTCTCCCACCGCAGGATTTAAAAGTGTGTCTCTCCAGGCAGTGCGGGGCCAGCCCCCTCTGCAGGCATTTGCTCCTGGTCTCAGAAGAGCTCACTTCACAGCGCTTGGGTGTGCGGGGGGGGGGATTTGGCACAGTCAAAATGCTCAGTGCCATCAGCGACAAATACACAACCAAGGGACCCCAATAAGTCAGGCTGGAGTATTGGAGGGGAGCAGGAAGCCAGTAGAGAAGCCTAGCACAGGTCTGTGTGTAGCTGGACACGTGTGTATGTGTGTTTGAAGGTGACACTTCAGTTTGGATTTTTTTGGTTTTGTTTTGATTCTTGGGGTGAAGTTTCTGTCGACGATTTTTCTCTCCTATTTTATTTTATTGCATTTCAATCATTTGACTGTAACAAGTGAGTCGTTTGAGAGGACTGAGGGGGGGCATTGGTACAGATGGATCCTGCACCTAGCAGTTGCCTGCAGAGTTCCCACCCGCCAGTCCCCATCTGGGGCTGCCTTCGGAACCCCCACGTGGAAGGTGGTGGGGCCTCAGGGCTGCCCCATTACCCGCCAGCTCCACTGTCCTTCCACCAGAAATCAGACTTTCTAGCGACAGCCACCGCAGCATACCCTGACTTCTCAGCTTCCTGTCTGGCGGCCACCCCCCACAGCCTGCCCCGGGAGGAGCGTATCTTTACTGAACAGCACCCTGCTTTTCCACAACCCCCTGACTGGCACTTCCCTGTCTCTGAGGCGCGGCAAAGGCTCAATCTGGGCCCAGCTGGGAACTCCAGGGAGATGGGGGCCAGCAGCCCAGGCCTGGTAGATGCTACAGGAGGACCAGGTGAGGACTTCGGGGTGCTTGCGAGTGCAGGCAGTGAAACAGAGAAGAAATCATCTGGGCGGAAGAAGGAAAGCTCAGGTAGGTGGTGAAGCAATGTACTATATGGGTACTGTGAGACCCTGGGGAAGTTGCTTGTAGTCTCTGAGCCTAGGAGTTCTCTGAGTATCAGATGGATGAGAAGGTAGCTTGCCTAACCTACCTGGTTGCAGGAAACAAGCTTCCTTCCTCCAGGGGTTCTAGAATTCTCTGATGATGAGGGTTGTGGGTGTCCCCAGCATTCCTGGGTCCTGGGAAGAATGTGTCACAGAGAGAAGATATAGATTTGGAGAGCACGTGGTAACGGGGTAAGGCCTGGCCAGGGCTGAGCTACCTCTGGGTCAAGCATCTCCCCACCATCAACTGGTCAATTCCAAATGGTTACCCACAGCCACCACCAAGGCCCAAGGCTTATGGGGGCTTAGGACCGAGGCTGGGACTCTAGGTGGGCCACATAGTACATGAGCCCAGAGGCAGAGGAGTAGATGTAGAGCTGGTATGAGGTTGATTGGCGGGGCTGGGGGGGAGGAGGGGAGCAAAGGAGAGATGTAGGGCTGGGGCTCGAGGAAGACAAGTGATGAGTTATCACCCTGCAGTGCTGAGCCATGCCCAGACCTAGGGGACAGCACCACATGCCAAAGCCTCAGGGAATGCAGTGCTGCTTCTGACCCCACTCAGAGGCATCTTGGGAGAGTCAGTGAGGGCCAGGCCAGGCTGGAAGTGTGGGACTGCATGGGGAGTATGGTAGGCTTGGTTTGTTATGATCTCAGCTTCTCATTGTCAGTTCACCTTTTGTCTGGTCCCCTGGCCCTGCCTTGCCCAGACAATGCCATGTCTCAGCCTCCTGTTCCACCTCCCTCCTGCACTACTGACAGCACCCTGGGAGTAATGCCCTCCTTAAGCTAAACTTAGAAAGGGCCTTCTGAGGTTCACCAGGCCAGGGAGGAGGGTGTCAGCTAGCAAATGACAGCAGCTCGTGCTTGGCTTTCCAAAGCACTTTTCTCTTAGCACAGGAGGGAGGGGGAGAGAGAGAGAGAGAGAGAGAGAGAATACATGCATGCATATGCTAGGACACTGGGGCTTAAGACCAGGGCCTGGGTGCTATCCTTGAGCTATTCCTGCTCAAGGCTAGTGCTCTACCACTTGAACCACAGCTCTACTTCTGGCTTTTTGCTAGTTAACTGAAGATGTCTTATGGACTTTTCTGCCTAGGTTGGCTTTGAATCACAATCCTAAGATCTCAGCTGCCTGAGTAGCTGGGGGTACAGGTGTGAGCCACCAGCACTTGCTGGAATCTTTATTGTACAGGTATTAGGGTCTTCTTTTGGGATTTTACTTAAGGGGAAGGGGGAGGCAGGAAGGCCAGCTCTGTAAGGGCCTGCAGAAGACAGAAAGCCATGTGTGAGGCTCATTACCAACTCCAGACTCTGGAATTCTTCTCTGAAGAGACAAGCCCACAAGATGCCTCCAAACTACTCCACCAATCCTATTTATTGCTTGAATCCTCTCTCAATCTAAAAATTTGATATTTTATGATGGATTTTTGTTGGGGGAATGGGGTGTTATGGAAACCTAGAGCACTGAGCATGCTTAGCAAGTGTTCTGCCACTGAGCTACGTCTCCAGCCTGTTAATTTGGATTTCTAAAAGTACTGCATGAAAATATTTAGCTAGATCATTGGGACTTAGGGTACCTGCATATTTATGGTCTATTTGAGCATCTCTTATGCCTGGCCCTAGTTCTGGCTGAGCTAGCTGTGGAGAGTTAACCAGTGTGAGCCACAAGTGGTTTACCTATAATGTTTGTTGCCAGACAAACAGATTACAGTATCAGCAGAGCAAGTTTTTGGCTATGTGACTTCCAGAAAAGTTCTTAACATCCTGCAGCCAACAGCTGTGAAATGGGATATGACACTAGACTTTTCTATATGTCTCTGTCAAGGTTAAATACAGTAACTTTGTGTTACTGTATACACACACACACACACACACACACACACACACACATACACACAGGTCCTAGGCTTGAATTCAAGGCATTGGTGCTGTCACTTAGCTTTTTTGCTCAAAATTGGTTCTCTACCACTTGAGTCACTGTTCTATTTATATGGCTCTTTGATGGTTGATTGGAGATAAAAGTCTCACAAACTTTCCTCGCTAGACTGGATTCAAACTGTAATCTTCCTCAGATCTCAGCCTCCTGAATAGCTAGGAATACAGGTGTGAGTGATTCTGTAGCTGGCCCCTAGTAAGAATTCAACTAATAGCAGCTAGAAATGCTTTTTGGCCTCTATTTCTTAAACCAGTGTGCAGAACATAGAGTGTAACTAACATTCCTGTAAGGCTGGAGACAGAAGGACTATATCTAATACACTGGTCTCAGAAATTTCTAGATCTGGGACAAAAGAAATAGAGATTTCTTAAAATCAGTTTGTCCTAAAATTCAATAGTCATGATCACTAGTTAGCTGGAGAGGTGGACAGAGTGCTAGACCTGGCAAATACTATCCATCCTGGCTGGCTCCAGCACCTAACTGGAAGGGTTTACAGAAGAAATATCCTCTGCACCCCTTCTTCCTCCAGCCATCCCTGCCAGATCTCCCTTTCATGTCTAGTGTCTTGCTGCAGTAAATGATCAAAAAAGCAGGACCTATCTTCCTATACCCTGCAGCTTCTCACCACAAAAATGACTAGGAAGACCACAGCCATGTTATCTTACCAGACTCCCCCACCCCTACCAGTCCTGTGGGTGCTAAAGACCCCTGCTGGCAGGGACAGCTGTGTGAGGCCCCTGTGGTTTGCCCCCACACTGTCCTTTCTACTGTGGTTGTCTTGAGTTTATGGGAATGTGATCGGGTTCAAGGGAAGGTTGTGTGAGATCAGTCCCACTGGCTGCAGGTGAGGCCCTGCTGCGTGGCCACCTGTGAAATACCTCTGCCCTGCTGTGCCCAGCATGCGCTCTGCCCTTCCAGGTCTGAATCTTCCTCACTCACCCCACCCTCCCTAGCCAGTGTACTTCTCCAGCTTTCCCTTGCTCCAGTGTTGGCCTCTACACCTGCCTGTGCCCAACTATATACAAACATTCAAATCCACCAGGGGTTTAAAACCACCTATTAACCAGGCCCTTCTCTACCTGCTCTCTCTTTCTAGCTAATAGGCCTCCCATCCTCCACCTCCACTTGCCAGCCAAACCTGCATCTTTTTCCCTCCTCCCTGGCTTTAACCTGGCCTCTCCCCCAACTCTCCTACTTGATGAAGTCCTATGTGTTTTATTCTATTTTATTAATTTTATTTATTTTTTGTTTATGTGGAATCGAACCCAGGATCCCATGCAGGCTAGGCAAGCACTCTATTACTAAGCCAAATCCCTAGCCTGACCTGTATATTTTATTTGTTTTTTTTTGGGGGGGGGGTGGTCCGGTTGTGGGGCCTGAACTCTGGGCCTGGGCACTGTCCCTCAGCTCTTCAGCTCAAGGCTAGTGCTCTACCACTTGAGCCACAGT